ATAGGGAGGAAAACATCACACACCAGGGCCTGTTGGGTGGTGGGGGACAAGAGGAGAGACAGCATTAGGAGAAATACCCAATGTAGATGACGGGTTGATGGGTGCAGCAAACCACCATGGCACACGTATAATTATGTAACAAACCTGAAGGTTCTGCACATATATCCCAGAACTTAAAGTATAATAAAAAAATCACTTTTTAAAAATAATTCCATTTATATGACATACTCAGAATAGGCAAATCTATAGAGACAGAAAGTAGAATAAAGACAGAACATTTCTTATGATTTGGGGGATGGTGAAAAGATGGGGAAAATGGAGGTTATTACATGAAAGGCATGGAGTTTTTTTTGAGATGATAAAAATGTTCAAAATGACTGTGGTTATGGTTGCACATATCTACAAACAAATATCTGCAAATATTGAATTGTACATTTTAAATGTGTGAATTGTATGGTATGTGAATTATATCGCAATAAAGTTGTTTAAAAACCAGATTTAGTCTCTCACAGTTCTAGAGGCCAGAAGTCTGAAATCAATATCTCTGGACTGAAATCAAGGCATCAGCAGAACTGCTCCTTCTGGAGATTCTAAGAGAGAGCATATTCCCTTTCTCTTTTGGCTTCTGGTTGCTGCCAGCATCACTGGCCTGTCAGCAGCATAGCTTAAATCTTCAACACCAGTGTCTTTAAATCTCTCTGTGTTCCATTTTCACATTGCCTTCTCACAATTATGGTACCAGATTATTAACCAATCTGTATTAGTCATCTAACAAATTACCTAAACTTAAGTGATTTCAAACAACAAACACTTATCGTCTCACGTTGTCTGTGAGTCAGGATTGCAGACATGGTTTAGGTTGAGAGACCTTGGTTTAAGGTCTCTTGTAAGGCCGCAATCAAGGTGTCTACCAATAGTGCAATAATCCAAAGGCTCAACTGGAGAAGAATCCACTTCAAGTTTACTGCCATGTTTATTGGCAGGCCTCAGATCCTTGCGGGCAACTGGTTGAAGACATCAGATATCTGCTACATGGGCTTCTCCATAGGACAGCTCACAACATGGCAGCTGCTTCTCCTCAAGAAGCAGGAGAGAGGGGAAGAAGAAGATACAAGTCACAATTTCTTTATAAGCTAATTTCAGAAGTGACATCCTGTTAGTTTTACTTTTTCATTAGAAGTGAGTCACTAGATCCAGGGGAGGGGATTACATAGTGGTGTGAATGCCAGGAGCTGGAGATCATCTTAAAGGTTGACTACCACAGCCACTCTCTCAGTAACTAGGAGGACATGCAGACAAAATGTCAGTAAGGATACAAAAGATTTGATCAATGTGATTAACAAATTTGATGTAATTGAGCACTGCACCCAACAACTGAAAAACACATATCTTTTTCAAGCCCATGTGAAATATTAACTAAAATTAATCATGTGCTTGGTCAAGAAGCAAGTCTCAACAAATTTTGAAATATCAAAATTACGTAAGTATGTGTTCTGATCATTGTGGAATTAAACTATAAATATTTACAAAAAGATAATTAGAAAATCCTGATATGTTAAGAATTTGGGGAATGATCTAAATAACTGATTTATCAAAAAGAAATTATCACGGATACTAGAAAATATTTTGGACTAAATAATAATTAAAATACTGCACACTAAACTTGAGGCATGTAGTTACTGCTGTACTTGGAATTTATAGCCTTAAATCCCTATGTCAGAAAAATAAAAATGATTGAAACCCAGTAATAAAAGCATCCATTACAACAATTTAATAAAACAGTGACAAAGGTTTGATTTTACTGTGGTCAAAATTTCAACCTTTTCCTTTATGGTTATAGCTTTCAGTGCTTGTTTAAGAAATCTTTCCTTAATCCTTTAAATCCTGAAGACATACTCTTACATAGCTTCCTATAGTTAAGCTTTATAGTTTTGCCTTTCACATTTAGTCTGAATCCCCATATTTGTGATATGAGATTTTATTTTTCCCCATATGAATATCTAATTGTTCCAACTTCATTTATTTTAAAAATTTCCCTTTTCTTCACTGCTCTGCAGTGCAAACTTGTCAAAAATTAAGCATTCATATGATGGATCTGATTTGGGGCTCTCTAATTTTTTCCATGTTTTCTTTGTTCGTTCCTTCAAACACCACTATCTTGATAACTACAGCTCTGTAATAAGTTTTAGTACTTGGTAGAACAAGTCATCCCACCTTATTCTTTTTGGTTATGCTTGGCCGTTTTCATTTCCATGAAAAGTTTAGAATATCTTTGTCAAGTTCAGCACACACTCACATATGCACACACACATAATTTATGGGATTTTAATTGTGATTACACTGACTTCTTATCAACTGGGAATAATTCAAATGTTTGTATCTTCATATATGCCTACGCATACATTTCTTTATTTTTGCAATATTATTTTCTATCAAAGAACATGGTATGTCTTTTCATTCATTAAATCCTTTATAATGTCATTCAATAAAGTTTTGTAGTTTTTACTATAGACATGGTACACCTCTTATCAGATTGATTCCTCCACGCTTTATATTTTTAATATTATTATAAATGAGATCATTTTAAAATGTTTTTAATTTTCTAATGTTTGTTAAAATTGAATTTACATCGATTTTGTATGTAGCAAACTTGTTAAATTCTCATATTATTTCAAAAAATTTGTCTATAGATTCTTTTGACCTTTCTTAAGGCACAATGGTATCATGTAGTAATAATAACAGTTTACCATATTTCATCCTAATCTTTATATGTTTTATATTCCTTTATGACTTCTTAAGCAAACTAGAATCTCTGATAAAAGATTGGATTTAATTTCTGGTGGCAAACCAGATTACACCAACTTGATTTCAAAGCTTTCAATGTTTTACCTTTGATTACAATGTTTGTTGTATTTTTAAAATTAGGATGAACCATATATTGCCTATATTATATCATTTTTCATATAATAAAAATAGCAATTGCATATGGTTCAATCTAATGGATTATCTCTATCAGATTAATTCACCTCTATTCTTAGTTTACAAATAATTTCTAAACATAAATATTAACATTTAATGTTTTTCCTGCATCTATTGAAATGGTAATATGGTTCTACTGTCTTTCAATTTGGAAATGTGATGAATAACATTATTTGATATTCTTTTTTATTTTTATTTTTATTTTTTTGAGACCATGTCTTGCTTTTTCACCCAGGCTGGAGTGCAGCAGTGCAATCTCAGCTCACTTCAGCCTTGACCTGCTGAGCTCAAGTGGTCCTCCCACCTCAGCCTCCCCAGCAGCTGGAACTACATGCCCATGCCACCACACCTGGCTAATTTTTGTATTTTTTGTAGAGATGTGGTTTTGCCATGTTTCCCAGTCTGATTTTCTAATATTAATTCAACTTTTTATTCCTGAAATAAAACCACTCTGGTGATAGTGTGTTATTCAGTTTGCTGAAGTTTGTCTGGGATTTTTGAACGTATATTCAGAAGTAAGATAATAATCTATGTGTTTTCTTTATATTATTCTTGTTGGAATTTTGTTGTTGAAGTTATGCTATCTTCAAAAAATGAGTTGGGAAGTCTATCTGCTTTTTCTATTTTTTAGAAAAGATTACATAAGATAAAATTTATTCATTACATAAATGTTTGGCAGATCTTTCCAGTGAAGTCATCTAGATCTAGAATTTTCATTACAGGAAAATTTTTTTAATTACTGATTCAGTTTCTTTAATAATTTTGATACTGCCCAGGTTTCTTATTTCTTCTTATTCACTTTTGATAAGCTACATTTTTCCAGATAGTTTTTCACTTTTTCTAAATTTTATATTTTATATTGGCAAAAGCTATTCAATATATCCATTTTTTATCATTTTAATGCCTGCAAGATTTATAGTAATGCCCCTTTTGCACATCTGTGATTGTATCTCTCTCTCTCTCTCTCTTTCTCTCTCTCTCAATATTTTATTTCCTCTCTTCATTTTCACCAGAGAATTATATGTTTTCAAAGAAGCAACTTTTGGTTTTGTTGATCCTCTATATTTTATGCTTGCTTTTTGTTTCATTCACATTACCGTATATGTATTACTTCCTTTCCTCTCCTATTTACTGATTGTTTTTAAGTTTTGTTTATGTTTCTCATCGTGTATAATTTGACCCTTATTATAGTTACCTTTATAAATCTTTAAAGTCAACTTTACAAATCTCAATGAGTTGTGTTTTTAGGATCTTGTCTTAAAGTTCTTTTCCACCTCAGAGACATATAGATATTCCCTTATTTTTTCCTTCTTATAGTTTTATTAAATTTTAGATTTAAGAATTTAATCTGTCTGGAATTTATTCCGGGTTCAGTCAAATATAATAATTTAAAAATTTTTATTCATTTGGTTTTCTAATCTATCAGTTTTTTAGTCAGCAAATAGATTCACTTAAGTTTTCTGTGTCAGTTTACATTATATTTTTTCTTTCTTCTCAATTATTGTTTATTCATCACTTTTTGTTGCATTGCTTAGGCCAGAATCTCCAGTACATTGAATAGATACAATGAGAGTAGGTACCCTGTTGTTGCTGACTAAAGGACATTCTTGTAAAGTTGCACATTAAAGATATTTTGTTTTAGGATTTTTGGTAGATAAGCATTAGGCTAAGAACACTTCCTTCTATTCCTTGTTGTCTAAACCTTATTAAATGAGAATGGGTAAGTAGGAGTAATCAATACCAAGAGTGAGAAAGATATAGGAATATGGCTCCTGAACAGAGAAACAGTGTCACCTGAGTCAAGACCACAGGCTGTGTGGTCAGATAAACCTGTTTTCCGGTCCAGGCTTTGCAAGTTGCTAGTATTTTTTATTTTACCTCTACTAGCTTCAATTTCCTTATCTATAAAATGGACATTATCATACCTAATCACGGACTTGTCAGAATTAAAATTTTATAAGGCACATAGAATACTTTATAGCTTACCAACACTAATTGTTTATTCATCTTCTTTCTTGTAGCTCCACCCTCTCTCCCTGTGGTAATAGGCCCCTTGGAGAGGGCCTTGCTCGGACAGACTGTGAATTTTAGCTGCATGTCCTACGGCTTCTATCCCAGAAATGTCACCCTGAAGTGGTTCAAAAATGGGAAGAAACTCTCATCCCTCCAGACCCACGTGGTTCAGTTAAAGAACAGCAATGCCTACAAAATCGTCAGTACCACGGAGGTAGTCCCAGCTCTAGATGACCTAAACTCTCATGTTACCTGCAGTGTGTACCACCGGAGCTTGCATTACCCTCTTCATGGGAAGGCTGATTTGTCTGAGACCATAATAGGTAGGTAACACCACATGTACCCGGCTTTCACGTGTCTTTGGAGCATAGTTCTTCCCAAATTTGCTCCAGGGAATAGGCTTAAATAATAACAGGTCATTCCAACTACCGAACATCTACTATGTGCTAGGCACAGCGACATGCTAAGTAGGTGCTAAGTAAATGGCCACCAAGCAATAAGCAGATGGATCTGATTGTTTCATGACGTCTGAGCATGTGTTCTATGCTATTTCAGTTCCACCCAAGGTGTCCATTCTTCAGCACCCTGCCTCAAATAACAAGATGAATGTCACCTGCCAGGCAGAGAAGTTCTATCCCCAGGACATGCAACTGACCTGGCTGAAGGATGGAAGTGTCTCCCAGAGAGATGAGACCCTGACCCCCATCAAGGGCAAAGACGGACTGTACAGCATGCAGAGCTCCATCCTGGTGGAAAACAGTGACCATGAGGAGGACACTATGCTCACCTGCCAGGTGGAACAAGACGGATGGCAGAAGATCACTGTAAAAATGACATTTTGGGCCTCTGCTCACCTGGATAGGTCTCAGTTGTAGCCAATAGCAAGGCCTCCATGATTTATTTAAGGAGGCTCCTTCATCTTTCCATAAAACGTTCTTTTTCAGATTTATAAAAGTTTAAATTATGAAAGCAAAGCCCACTCTCTTTCTCATTCTCTTGCTGACTCATACACTCTCACTCTCTCCTTCTCGCTCACACACAGAAGTGCATGCGCACACACACACACAACCCAAAATCGTATAGGTATTTATCAAAAACTAAATCTCTATTAGGAATCAAGTACACCCAATCCAACTCCCTAGAGAGATCTCTTATATATTATTTGTTGCCCTTTCTTTTAAGGTCTCAAACAGGATTTCAGGTACTAGGATTTTAAGGTACAAGGTCATAAGAGGACTAGATAATGTCTGAAACTCCTGCCAAGACAGGGAGCCTATGTTTCCTTGAATGATCTTAATGGTTTCTTGCCAGGAGATTTTTTTAGTGTTTTTATCATTTTCTGATTAAACCCAAGTCCTTCCTGGTGCTGAGCAGAGCAGCCTTGAAATTCTCTCAATAGGAACACATCTACGTTCCACTTACTGTCAGTGTAGACACATCCTTCTGTGCCCTGATGTGGTGGTGTTCTCCCAGGCTCCAGGCTCTGGGTGTCCCGGGTGTCTGGATCTCCTGCCCTTTCTTGATTCAGAGGGGCAGCAAGGATGAGCACAGTGTTTGACAAACATGAGTTTGATTCTCACTACCTTGTGATCCTGGAAAGTTTCTGAAATCTCTGAGCCTTGATTTTCTCAGCAACATAGAAATCATAATACCCATCTCATAGGACTATGCTGAGTGCTAACAAGGTAATACAAGGTAGTTAAATGGTTGGAGCTGCCTCCTTTTTCCTAGACAAGGCCTAGCCCAGCAGTGTGAGATGCGTGTGTTCTCACCTGGGCTCCTGTCTCAGGTATGTGTGCTGGCAAGGCATAGTGCAATGGGAACCGTTGTCTAAGATGGGCCCTGGGAGCCTCAGATGGGAAAGTGAAAGTCCTGGAGGATGGACCCCCTTGTGCCCTCTGATGATACTTGTTGCCCACCCTTCCTTTTGTGACTCTCCTCCTAGGCCACAAGGTGCTGCTGGTGATGGAGTCTTCACCCTCCATTCTACAGGAAGTAGATGGCCTAACTGTAAACTGAGGGGAGGTCCAGGGAGGCAGGACAAGGTTGTGGCCACAGCCTGGTCTGGGATCAGGCTAACATTAGGGAAGAAGTCATTCCAAGAAGAGCCCACAAGGACACATGGTGCCCAGGTTCATCTGGCGGCAAGAGAGGAGCACATCACTCTTACTTCCCCAGGAATTTCCTGGAATACATTAAGAAGCTCCATCTCAGATGTGGTGATGGGGGAAGAGGGACTTGATCAAGCATTTGCAAAAGATGTCTTCAGGAAAGCAGAGGGGATTAGGACCCAAGGAGGAGGCAATGTCTCATCTCACAAGGCTAGATATCAACTCTTTGTCCTCCAGCAACATCCATCCAAGGGAGCATCCAAAATGAAGGGTAGAACCCAGTCCTGACCAAGTGGAGATCAAGGATGAGGTAGCTGTGAGGCTACTACTGTGGTTTAGTTAATCAGTGTCAGGCTCCCAGGGTTTCCAGGGATGGGGGAGCCCCAAAAAGGGGAAAAAAGAAAGGGCAACTGTGGGATCCCTGAACAGATAAGGATCCTGTGGCATTAATGCCTCTGGGGGGAGCTAGATCAGAGACCAAACACCGGGGGTCACTGTGAACACTTACCATGAATCCACTGGCTATTTCCTCCTGGGTACAAAACACCTGTTGAGCATTCTCAGTGGGAAAGAGAGTTAAGCCAACCTCTGTTCTCATTGAGGTGTGTGCTCTAGCAAGTAAGGAAGACTTCCAACATAAACATCTGATTACAATTCTTACAAGGTACTAAGGGCACTCTCAGTTTATCTACAAAAAGGAGGAGAAGGGAGTGGTCATCTGAAGTTCAGGGAAGAAAGAGCAGCATCTTGGGAGTGAAAGGGCTAGCAGCTGAGGCTGGCAAAGCATTTGGAGCCAGATCAGTCAGGAACAAGAGAAAAATCTTTTATTTTCCCTAAGAACAGTGGGAAGCCACTACCAGAGAGAAGCATGGTCAGATTTCTCTAAATTTCTAAAAGTATCACTCTGACTACAGTGTAAGGAAAAGACTGAAATAGAGAAAGAGTAAGGGAGGCAAAATGGTAGCCTGTCCAAGCCAGAGGCGACAGTGGAGAGAAAGATGCAGGAGGATTTAAGATCGCTATGCACTGAAGGTTTTTGTCCCCTCCAAATTCATATGTTAAATCCTAATGCCCAATATGACAGTGTTAGGAGGAAGGCTGTTGTTGGGAGGTGATTCAGTCATCAGGGTAGAGTCATGAATGGGATTAGTGTCCTTATAAAAGAGGCCCCAGAGAGCTCTCTTGCCCCTTCCACCATGTGAGAACACAGTGAGAAGCTATCTATGAACCTGGAAGTGGGCCCTCACCAAACACCAAATCTGCCGGCTTCTGGGTCTTAGACCTGCCAGGCTTCAGATATGTGAGAAATAAATTCATGTTGCTTAGAAGCCACCCAGTCTATGGTATTCTCTTATAGTGGTCCGAACAGACTAAAGATATATTTAGATTAAAGGATATGGGGAATGGGAGGAGTTATCAAAATCAAAAATGACACCAAGGTTTTCTGGTTTAACAATCAAATCCCATCTCAATGTATGACATACACTGAGATGAGGACACAGAAAAAAGAGCTGATGGTATGTGAGTGATGACTATGCTCTGTAGTTGCTTAGCAGACAGCAGGGCATAGGCATGTGAATGGCTTGCCCACTTCCATGCAAATACCACCTAAGTCCAAGATTCTGACCCACTGTTCCTTCTGGCCCCAAAGCCTGCCTTCTAATCCCCGTATTCAGTGGTTCCTGCCAACAAGGAACAGCAAGTCCAGTGAAGGAGGCAGAAGCTAATGAGTGGTGGTAAGGAAAATGTTGCCAAGGGTGCTGTCTAGTTACTATTGCTGCATGGCAAAACACCCCAAAACACAAGGTCAAAAAAACAGGCATTTTATTATGATCAATGACACTATGGGTAAGGAATTCAGACAGGGTACGAGAATGACTTGTCTCTGCTATATGTTGCCTGGGGTCTCAGTTAGGAAACTCACCTGGGGATGATTCAACTGCTGGGTCATCTGGAAGCTTCTTCTTTTACATGTCTGATGATTGATAATGGATATTGGCTGCATCTTAGCTGGGATGTCAGTTAGAACTCTTACATGTGTCCCTGCAATGTGATCTCTTCATGCGTGCTAGTTTGTGCTTCCTCATAGCATGGTGGCAAGGTTCCAAAAATGAGCATCCCAAGAGAGCCAGGTAGAAGTACAGGGAATTATTATGGTCTAGCCTCAGAAGTCACATCACATAGCTTCTGTTACAGTCACAGGCCTGCCCAGACTCAGCGGGAGGTAACATATGCCTACATCTCCATGGGAGGAGTGTCAAAGAGCATGAGGGAAGAGGGACCTTGTTGAAATCAGCTCTGGAGAATAGAATCTGTCATCAGGAAGACAGAGATTAGAGTTAGAACAATGAGTGCTAAATGGAACACTCTGACTAGTTCCTTGTCAAGAAATCCCTCTCAGAAAAAATGTTTAACAAGCTAGAATAAGGTGTCGCGGGGAGAGGGACACTCATCATGCTACAGAGTAATCAAATCCCATCGCTGGTTGGCCCCTTTCATTCCACCCCTTCACATCACCAACATCCGGTCAGCCACTGGCAAGGAGGCAGGGGTCGGGAGCAGTGGGGAAACTAAGTCACAGGAGGCAGTGTCTGGCACTAGGCCCACAGAAGTGATGAGCTCATGGCTAGAGGCTCTGGATGTGATTTCATGTGCAAGTGGCTGCTGCTCAGAAGGAGGAGAAGAGATGCATTCTTGGTGTGAGCATTTCTACAGCTCCTCCACTCCCTTCTCCCAAGAGATGGCCCCAGACTAGGGACAGACAAAAGAGATACCCCTCCTCCTCCCAGCTGTGTTTCTGCATGTCACTGTTCCTACAGTATGAGCACCGTAAGGCCCTGCACCTCCCGCTTAACACACACAAGTTTCTTCCCCTTTCCTCTAAAACAGAAGCTATTCTCCTCCTCCCAAGATCTAACTCCTTGCTCACTCAAAGCCACTTCCCCTGTAAGTGTACTTTGAAGAGCCAAAGCCTCCCATCAGATGTGGCTTCAGGCTCATTTTCACAACTGACACCTCTGGAGTGGGGAAAAACAGGGACCCACACCTGTGAAGCCCCATTCCCAGGAGCCCTCCTCCTGACTAGCTGCACAGCTCATCTGAGCCCAGGTTTTGGACCATCACAGGAGGCTGGACACACCTTTCTCTACGACAGACCGTGTTCCTGGGCTCCTGGATGAGGAAGGGTCACCAGCACACCTGACACAAAGTGAGAGGCCCAAAGGGCAGAGTCTCGCTACTAAGGGTGTCTGCCAGGCCCCCTCCAAGCACCTTGGGACCCTTATATCAGTAATTTCTTAGCTTTTGTCTGATTCCTATCTCATAATCTAGAAACTGGAACTGTCAAAATCCCACAGCCCTTTCCTCCCATCATAGTAACTTCCTCTTACATCATGGAAGATATAGTTCTGCTTCTCTCAGCAGAGCAGAATCCAGGACCTCCCCAAAACAGACCTACAGGCAGAGCAGGCTCCAGGGTCCACCACGATGCCCGGCCCTGCCTCTCGGCCCTGCCTGAGAGAAACAACAGAAACGATTTCATCCATCCCTGCTGCTGCCTCTGGCTGCTGGGACTCACAGGGGAGTGCCCCCACCCTCAGGTACCATGGTGCAGGGATGCTCTCCTGAGTTTGGCGGCCGTATCATTTGGCCACCTGCAGTGGGGCAGATGAATCTCTGTTGTTCTAGGGCCTCTTTCTTTGCTGCCCCTTCCTCTTTAAGACACTTCCCTAAACAGTTTGTTTTATAACATGTGTCTCCAAAACAAATCCCTCCAGAATTCTTATCGCTTGGAGGGGTTGCTTTCTCTCCTATCCAGGC